CACACACACACACACACACATGCAAGCAAAAGTTAAGGAAGTCCTTAATGGAGAGCATCAACAGCTGCTCTTTCCTCTGAACAAAAACAACTAGCAATCATATTGGCAATGAAGATTCATATAATTCATTGCCCCTCATTTGTTCTTATTACAAAATTTCCCCCAAACATCCTAAATTATGTGGTCAGTAAAGGTTCCATTCAGAGGAAATCTAATTTTTCAGGCTGTCTGGATGTCTCCTGCCAGTGCAGAAACCAGCTACACGGATTGGGTTTTTCCCCCTGAGGCTTTGGTAGTGATTTCTGCTGTGACCACTACTGTTATCCACAAAAGTGTTCAGGGCTAAACGTAGGACCCTGTCCCTCTTTCTTTTTTCTTTCTCTCTCTTTTTTTTTTTTTTTTTTTTTTTTTGGTGAGGCAATCAGGGTTAAGTGACTTGCCCTGGGTCACACAACTAGTTAAGTGTCAAGTGTCTGAGGCTGGATTTGAATTCAAGTCCTCCTGACTCTAAGGCAGGTTCTCTATCCACTGCACCACCTAGCTGCCCCCGTCTCTTCCTTGCGTCAATGAAAACAGAGTGACTTTTGATGGTGGCTTAGTTTATACAGGTCCTTCCTTGGTTGTACCCACATTAGTGACCAAACACACTCCATCTGATGAGTTAATATCAAGCATAAAGGAAGCTTGGAAAACCCAGATTGGGAAAGATACATACCAGGAGCACTAGGAGCACGACACTGTATAAACTACAAACTCCACATGCATAACAAGCATGATACAAAATAAATGTAAACTACACCAATAGGACAACTGAAACCTTATGATGAAAATCTAATATTCTTCCTTTGGCTCAACTCATCAGTGATATTAAGTGAAGTCAAGATACATTGTATTTCTCTCCATAACTTCTTTTTGGTCTTTGTTCAAAGGCTCTCTGGATAAGTGTCTTTTCCATAGGTTATCATGAATTAAGCCTCTACACTGTGTAGGGAGAAAGGCTAGGCATTTTAGGACTCCAAGTTTGCTGTTATCCCTTTGTTTTCTGAATTTAGCATTAGACCTTGAACTCTAAAATCTTCAGTAGTTCCTTAGTATTATTATTATATTATATGATGTATAGTGGATAATATAATATAGATTATATTACAATATAATATATAACATAATATATATTTATATTATATAATATATACCATATAATATATTCTATAACACATTATATGTTATATATCATAATATATAACATATAACACATTGTCTTATAATCTATATTATATCACATTATATAATTATATCATCATTATTCTTTTATTATTATAATTCCAAGCCTGGCATTTAAAGCCCTCCACCATATGGCTCCCATCATAACTTTCCAGGCTTATTTTATCTTATTCCTCTTCACACACTCTCAGTTCTTGGTAAATTAACTTGTTAGATATTCTTCAAATGCTACATTCCCTTTCCCACCTCTGTACCTTTAAATTAATGGTCCCCCATTTCTGGAATATATTCTCTCTTCATCTCTACCTCCAGAATCAATCCCCTCTGGGACACTAATGCACCATTGGTGAAGTTGTGAACTAATCCAACCATTCTGGAGGCCAGTTTGGAACTACGTTCAAAGGGCAATGAAACTGTGTATTTTATTTGACTCAGTATCCAGTCTGTATCCCAAAGAAATGAAAAAAGAAAAGGAAAAAGACAAGAAAATGACCTACATGTACAAAAATATCTATACCAGCTCTTTGCGGTGGAGGAGAATTGGAAATTGAAGGGGTACCCATCAATTGGAGAATGACTGCACAACTAAATGATCGTGATGGAATGCTATTGCACTATACAAAATAATGAACAGATTAGTTACAGAAAAATATAGAAAGACATATTAATTGATACAAAGTGAAGTGAACAGAACCTGGAGAACATTGTACACAGTAACAGCAACATTGTAATATGTTCAGTTGTAAATGACTTAGCTATTCTGAGCCATACAATGATCCAAAACAGTCTGACAGACTTATGATGAAAAATGCTATCCATCTTCAGAGAAAGAACTGACGGAGTCTGCGTGGAGATTGAAGTACACTTTTTTACTTCATTTTTCTTAGGTTTTTTTGTCTGTTTTCTTTTGCAACATGGCTAATATGGAATATGTTTTACATGCCTTCACAAGTATAATCTACATCAAATTGCTTGCCTTCTTAAGAAGGGGGAAGAGGAAAGAGGAAGGAAAAGAATTTGGAATTCAAAACTTTAAAAATGGTTTTTTTTAAGTTTTACATGTAATTGAGAAAAATAAAAGTGAAAAAAAATAGAATCAATCCCTAGCATCCTTTAAAACACAGTTTAGATGCTATGTCCTGTATAAGGCCTTTCTGTGTCTCTTCTCCCCTCTAAAAAGTACTTTCTATATCTTTGTTTTTACTTATCACTGTCCATGTTGTATTTCCCATCCCCACCTTTATGCCCAGTAAACAACTTGAGGGTAGGTTATATTCCATTTTTGTCTGGTCATCATCTAGGAAAGTGTTTTGTACGCAGTAGATATTTAATAAGTGTTTGTCAACTTGAATTGAATTCCATTTGACACAATATATTTCCTACTGTGAATATTTTAAATATGAGATGAAATTATCAATATTATTGATCTTATAGGTCTTTAATGAAATGTTTTCCCATTTTTCAGAGTGTAGTTCTCAGATCTTTTCTTCCCTCAAATACCATGACCACACATGTACCACATATAATTTCCCCAAAGGAAAACAGAGCACCCCAAAGAGAAGCATAAGATGCTACCACAAGCAAATAGCTATTGGGAAACTTCACCAATAAAGTTTCTTTGTGTACTTAACAATAGAGTTTGAAGACAGAGAAGGAAGAATGAAGAATAGTGGCCCCAAAGGAGGGAGTGAGCTTACTCCATTCACAGGTCCCATAGTTCACTGTGGGCACCTCACAAGGGCTATAAAGAAGTCTATACTCAAGGTTCCACACTCTTCTGCAAACTGCTCTGTAATTACTGTGGGGGCCCTAATCGGTCTAAGAAATGTAGCTCTAAAGGTGATTTCAGGCCTATTTGGATCATAGAATGTTAGCACTACAAAGGAAACTCATTTTGAAAAGAACAAGTCCTAGTTCCTCATTTTAAAGTGGAGAAAGAAGCCATAGGGACAGTGGGATCTTTCAGGGTGAAAAGGCTTTAGGGATGGAGGGATCTTCTAATGAGAAGACCACTGGAAAATGGTGAAGAAAGAAGTCTAGAGAGTTAGAAGCAGAGTCTGGAGAGAAATAATGGAATCATTTTGTTTTTGTTTTACACAGGTGATTAATCGTGTAGACAACCACCAGTCCCGTGGGTTCAGGGAGGATTGGAAGGAGGACTAGACAGTATCCATCTGTCTTTGAGCTCAGATCAGTCTTAACTCCAATCTTGAATTTGAATTTGGAAGACAGTTGCTGTTACACTGACTTTGTTTTCCCCACCTGCATTTCTTCTCTTTTCTGTAGCATGCTATAACATGTAAATAAAGGCACAATGAGAAAGAATCCAAATGAGCAAGTGTTTGCTCAGTCAGTCAGAAAGTTTTCCTGTCACTGTTGCTCAGTGTACATCCCTCCCCTCACCACAGCTTCTGGCTAGCTTGGCAGAAACCTCAAACTCAACATTTTCTGTCTGTCACCAGCTTGATTTTGCAATTGAGACATGGGGCAATGTGAATGTTGCCAGTGGGCCTAGTGAGGCAAAAGGGAATGTTTCCAAATAATGTAGTAAATTGCTGGAGGGAGGAGGGGAAAGAGAGAAGGAGGGGAGAAGGAAAAGGGAGGAGGCACAGTTGAAGAATTTTGGTTATGTCACGTTGGTAATAACTTTTACTATGCATGCACAGCTATAGAATTTAATCCAATAACACACCCTTGTAATATTTCTCAGAGAGAAATTTCCTAAGTGAGCTTGTTCAGTTGTTTCAATCATGTCTGACTCTTTGTGACCCCATTTGGGGTTTTCTTGGCAAAGATACTGGAGTGGTTTGCCATTTCCTTCTCCAGCTTATTTTATAGATGAGGAAACAGGTGCAAACAGGGTTAAGTGACTTGCACAGGGTCACACAGTTCTTTAGTGTCTGAGGCCAGATTTGAGCTCGGGAAGTTGAGTCTTGCTGCATCCACTGAGCCACTTAGCTTCTCAAAGTGAGCTGTTAGGGTTTAACTGTACAGCTCCCAGTCATGAAAGCCAGAGGTTTTCTACATAGCTCTTCCTCCCTTAGAAGACTCTCTATCCTGCTTTCCCCATACCATAGACCGTATAAACGAAGATGCAGAGATAGAAAGGATCTTAGAGATCATCTAATCCAACCCCTTCGTCATAGGGTCATAGATCCAGATCTAGAAAGAACTTCAGAGGTTAAGTCTTACACCCTCATTTATAAGGGAGGTAACAGGGGAGCGTACCGAGCTTGAGCAACTTGCCCCAAGTCACAAGGGTAGTAAGCGTCAGAGGTGGGATTTGAACCCAGTGCCTTTGCCTCCAGGTTCAGTAGTCTTCCCACTGTGCTACTCTGCCTCTCTTAATCATTTCAACAGGTGGGGCTCTACTTCCGAATCCCTGTAAATGGTCACACTGGTTTATCAGGAAGCTAATTAACAGCAAACAGATTTCCACTTTCTAAAATGAATGAAGGACAGACAGTCCTATCTTGCCAAAAGCAGGAAAACTGTTGATTGGCTGGAGGCTTTTTTTTTCTTCCTCAAGAGATTCCAGGGACCTCCACAATGAGGTGCTTTGTCTGGCTCACGCCAAGGTTAATTTGGCACCTCAGTCACAAAGAGCATATGCTTCCTGTGACAGACTTCCAGGGAGGCAGCTTCCCACATGTGCTCCCCTAGTCTCCTCATTGGTTTTCAGAAAGGAGAGGGTGGGTCCTCCAAGGGAGCTTGTATGTGTGTATGACAGATGAGTTTTTTTTTTAACGTAAGAAAACAAAACCTGGATATTTGATGCCCTTTTTTAAAAGGCAAAGACTTCTTTGGACCTGAAATTTACAAGGTAAGTAAGCAGCACTCTGTCACATAGCTTGAACTTTGAAACCGTCGGTGGGTATGATCTGAGAGCATTCTCTGAAAGTCTTGGTTGTTTAGTGGCTAACTTTAACATACAGCAGGGTCTGCTGCTGCTTTTATAATAAGAGCTCCTTCCCTGCCAAACTACTGCACATCCATCTCTGATAAAAAGACTCACTTCTTCTAAACAACTTTCCACAATGAAATAGTCATTGACCACAGTCAGACCTGTGGTCATTTTAAACTTGGGTACAAACGATTTGGAAAGGCTAGGTTTTCTTTCTGATCTCAGGATGATAAATGTATTGAAATAGGTTCAAATTAGCTCTGCCATTTGGAAAATGGGTCTGCACAGAGGGGACAAATCTTGCCAACTGAGGGAGTCCCAGGGGAGCTGCCCTATCAGATGCCATTTGAGTCTGTGGGTCTTTATTCTGATTGTTATTTGGTGCTGGCTTATGGAAGGCAAGGGGGCTTAACTGAGCCCTGCTATACTACGGTTGTGGTGGCCCTGCTCTAGAAGAAATGACAAATCTGTGGATATAAGGTGTTGCTGTGCAGGCCAGTTTTTCATGATTGGGACAAATTAGATTGAGAGATTGGAAGTCATTACAATGCAACCTGAAAGCCAGAGACTTGTCACAATCAAAATAATTTCAGATGTGTTCACCAGGGTGTGGGGCAACTAATCAACTGAGCCTATTCAGGAAATCTAATACTTCTTTCGAAAAGGCATAATGCTCTTCTAATTTTTTTTTTCTTTTAGTTCCCTCTGATTCTTTATGGCTTAGGTGGGAAGGCTAGTTGTGATTGGTAACTAGAACAGTCAGCCTCTGAAAGGCAAAAAGTGTCACAGCAATTTTTTTTTTCTTGTGTAAGAAAAGATAAGATAACAAGGAGAAGATACTTCGGTAGTTTAGAAAATAGAAGGCATGGCAAACAATATGATTTATTTTTTATCTTTTCTCAGCTGAACCTGTCTCCATTGCACAGGTAATAATAGTCAGCTACTTATGTCATCTCTTGAGATATCCAAATTATTGTTTATATCCTCTTTTCCTACGAACTCCAAACAATCTAAAACCATATTTTACCTCCTATACCAAAACATTCACCTACCTGCTCAAAGTCGTTTTTCTCCTTTGATAAGTCACTTATATGTATTCATTATCTTTGAGCCCTCAAAGTACTTTATACACATTCTGAGGACAAGGGCTATCACCAATTTATTAGTTTGGGAAGGTAAAGCACAGGCAGGAAGGCAGGAAGGCAGGAGAACCTTGTCCAAGGTCACACGGGGAAATAGTCGTTAGACAAGACTAGAACCAATTCTCCAGGCTTCTAACCAAAGATTCCACTCTAGGAACCAGGCTGTCTCCCCTGTTCTAGCCAGAGTTATTTCCCAAACCTGTGCTGTAAATTACACTGCTGCTCTCCTGAGCTACATTAAAACACATCATCTAAGTGAGGTATTCATTCACTCTGAGGATTGGAATGTGGAAGGACGCTTTGCCGTGACCAGCTCATGGGCAACCCAGGCTCTGTGAGCCTGGAGGAAGCAAAACTCTCTCCACCAAACACCCAGCAGGAAAGAAGGTTGGGTCCCCAGAACTGACAATGTCCATGTTCATATTTATCTCTCTTTCTCACTAATCTCCACACAGTTTTAGAGTGAAGTCAAACAAAAAAGGAAATTCTTAGGAAGTGGAGCTGGGGGTATTTACTTGTATTGGTCAGAAAGAACTTTCCAGAAGGATGAGGCTGAAAAGACCAAGTCTCATTCCTGGACTAACATTCCAATATATGATTGCCCCATTGTAAAGAGTTATTTTTAACTTAACTCTGTTTCCACATCTGCAAATATAACGCATGTAAAAATAAATATTTAGGGAACATCTTACCTCCAGTAGACAGAGACAGCAGAACAGGTCTCGGGTGGTCTAAATTTTCTTTCTCTTTTTTTTCCCCTTTCTTATAAAGAAGACATGGAAATGAGCATGAAAAACACTACCTGATTTCATTCAGGAAACATTGCACTGAATGTGAACATGCCCTCAAAGTTCTATAATCCTTCTATGGAAGTCCAGCTTCCACCCTTATTGGAAGAAAGCTTCCTGGGGTTCTTCAGTTGTTTACCTGGGACAATCTCTGTTCTTTGAGATTGGTTGCCTCTTCTAGGTGTGAATGCCTGACCAAACCATCCTGAAGCGATAAAAGACACATATTTGTGTCTAATGGTAGCCATCTCTAGGGCAGGGGAGGAGGGAAGGAAAAAAAAAAAAGAAATACAGATGATAACTTTATTGTATATTTAAAAGGAATAGCAAGTTGTGCAGAATAGATTTGTAGTTTCATATGCATTCATCTTTTTTTATCATACCATGTTATGGAAATGTTTGTCTTATTCCACAAATTTAAAAAAATGATGAAATTAAATTAAAAAGAAATAACACTATCTTTGCCCTCACATGCTTTTGTTGTTTTGAAAAGGAATAAGACACATACACAAAATCACACATGATCAGTGCTTTAGAGAGGCACAAAGTACCATGTGAGGTAGGAAGGAGGGAGTCATTATTGAGTCAGGTGGAGGGTGGGTGACAGGTGATCAGGATTGCTCTCAACCCCAAACTTAATGTAGTATGTGTAGGAGCACATATGGAAAGCATATAGAGGGCATCCAAAAAGGAACCTTAGATAGTTTGATTATATTGTGCTTTGGTTAGACAACATGTAGATTTTTGTGTTCAGTTCTGGACACCACAATATGGGTTGGTCATGTCAGGATGGAGCATGTCCAGAGGAGTACATCCAAGTTGATGAGAGAAGTCAAAAGGGTGCTATGTAGTGATCTATAGAAGGAAATGGGCATGCTTATGTCAGATAAGGGAAGATTATCTTCATGTATTTGAAGCGCTGTCATATGGAAGAATGGATTAGACTTGTTTGTCTTCTCCCCAGAGGGCAGAACTAGAACCAATGATGGGGAGTTAGAGACTCAGATTTCGTGTGAAGAAAATTTTCCTATTAAAAGCTGTACAAAAGTGGAATGCACAGAGAGATAGTGAGTTTCTCCTCAATGGTGAGCTTCAGGTGGAGACTATATGACCAGTTTTCAAGGACTTTGTAGCAGGCATGTTGTGTGGGTCTGCAATTAGAGTAGGAAGATGGAATCAAGGATTTAGAGCTGGAAGGCACTTCAAAGCCCATCAAGTGCAACTCCCTCATTTTAGAGATAAGGAAACTGAGGCAAAGACTTCCCTAGATTCACATAGCTAATATGCACCGGGGTGACCTTTGAAGTCTCTTTCCCCTTGACATTCTATGATTCTATTGAGGTTCCTCTTTGTGTCTCCAGAGAGAGAGCTTCAACATAGGCTTATAGCTAGTTCAAAGACTATTGTCTAGGAGTTCTATTTCGTCTTTCTCCATAGCATAGTCTGATCAGTTATAGCAAATACATATACAAAATGCAATAAAAATTGGCTTATGTAGAGACAAAACTCATTATAAAAGTACAGACTTCAATTAAACAGAATTAAGAGAGCAAGAGATTTGATGCCAGTTTACCAAGCAATGAGTGGGGCAGAGGAAGTGACCAGGTCCCAGTGCAGCAGCAAATTCTGTCCTGGCAGATATCACTCCTCAAGTGAGTCAGTGAATCAGGCAAGGCTCCAACAGCCTGTGATTATTTGCAGTTGGGGTAGCAACAAGTGGCAACATCATTTCTTTGCAATTGACTGGCCACTGGCCTATGTCAGGCATCTACACATGAGAACTCCAAGGCTCCCACCTCCCATGATCCTTCCATCAATCTCTCCTTACAGCTAGAAAAAACTATACTTCTTATCAGTTTCTTTGCTAATAGAGGACTAAACTATGATAAATATTTGCTTAAAGTCCCAGTGGTCACTGGCAGTCTTAGAACTAGTGCTCAGGTCTCTGGACTTTCAGCTCACTGCCGTTTCCACTACACCATGATATCTTTCCAAGATTAATATTTAGGATTACACACATTACCATTTGATTTTGCACTTTAGTTTCCTTTATTCTTTCATCCACTTTCCCCTTAGCCTTCCCTTTCTTCCACTCTATTTTTTCCTAAAAAGGAGACAGCATCTTGAATGGAAAATGAAATTAAATAACACTGTTTCATGCCCATCTTGAAAAATAGTCCTTCAACTTGCTCAGTTGTTTTCAGTGAAGTCCAATGGGAGAGTATATGTGTTTGTAAGCCTACCTTTGCAGTAAACCAAAGAACTCCATTTATTTTAAAGTTACTATTGAAGGTCCAGTACCTCTGGCATTAAAAAGTTGGTTCTCTATACTGGAGACCTTTGAGACTAATCAAATAGACAAAATCAGATGAACATACAAATATAAACTATAATCTAGGTTTGCACACGAAAGACCCTCAGAGGAGATTATTGAGAGGATGTGACTTCTCCTTTCTCCTTTGTAGAATTGCAGGCTCATGGGCATGGAGCACTGCATTTGTCAGACTCTTTTGATATGTTGATTAGTTTTAATGAATATTTTTCTCTTCCTTTTTTTTTTCTTCATTATAAAAGATGACTCTTTGGGGGGGGTGGATATAGCAGGAAATGTTGATGATGTGAAAACAAAAGAATATCAGTAAAAATCTATTTTAAAAAATAATGGATGTGTTGCCTGGGAAACCATACTAATGGGGCTGCTGACTATGACCTGAGGAAGACCCAAAGAACCTTCTGAAGCTTGAACACTCCCCACCGTCTGACAGCCATACTAACTCAGATTGTGGGACATTCTGTTCAGTGCTTAATAGAAGTTTGTTAAACTGTTGATGAAAAAGGGACAAGAACCAGGTAGAGTTCCTAGCTGTGAGTGCACCCTAGGTACTCAAAGCCCTTAGAACAATACTGTTTAAACAAATGAACAAACAAAAAGCAGGGCAATTCAAGGGAGAAGGTGATATTTGAAGGTCTGCTAGACATGAAGAACATCAAATGCATACAGAGCAGCCTGAAACTGAATTTTGAGAACGTTGCCAAGGGGAGGTGGGGAAGTTAAGCAACTGTAAGCGCATTTCCCTGAGAAATGTCAGTGTGAAATTCCAGGACTAGAGTGCTTTGACAACATCCCAGTTGAGTTTGTGAGTGTTTATTTTCCTGGGTAAAATTTTTCCTAGAGGATCTCTTATGAAAGGCTTCACATTAGACTCATGATAAGGTTAAGAATAGAAACACTAGGACTCAGACCCATGATTTCTTTGGTGTAGAGATCTTCTGGGTCAAGAAATTCCCTCTGTGAATGCAAGTTGTAACCTTCTCTGTAACTAGGCAACTAGGTGGCACAGCAGATAGAGCAATGAGCCTGGAGTCAAGAAGACATGAGTTCAAATCCAGCCTCAGACACTTACTAGCTATGTGACCCTGGGCAAATCACTTAACCCTGTTTGCCTCAGTTTTCTCATCTATAAAATGTGCTGGAGAAGAAAATGGCAAACCTCTCCAGTATCTTTGCCAAGAAACCCTAAAAGAGATCATCAAGAGTCAGACACAACTGAACAACAACAACTATTAATTCCAGTCTGAGAGGGCCAAAGAAATTTCAGGGTCATAGAATCATAGCCTAACAGCTAGAAGAGACCTTAGAGGCCACATATTCTAATCCCTTCATTTTAAAGATAGATACCTAAGATCACACAAATTGTAAGTTGCAGAGCCGGATCTAATTTAGGTCACTCGACTGCAAACACAGCATTTTTTCCACTGATTCATCTGTAACTTACCCTGTCATCCCTCCTCAACATTGCCCCAGAAAATATCCAATCAAATTGGAGTCCCGTGGATTCTGCTATGATTGGAGCATTATCACCCAGGAGTCCTTTCTCCCCTTAGAAAGTGTGTTCCATCCCCCAAAAAGACTAACATTCTGTAAGAGGCAAAGTCATAAAGATTCAAAAACCAATAACCCTTCCTAGCATACTTCTTTAACATAAGACTGTGTACAGGTTGACGTATGAAGTACTCGGTGGACATCAAGACATAGGTACGCAATAGAGAGGAATAAGCAGTGGTCTAAGGCAGGCAAAAGCATGACAAGATTGGTGTAAGCTTTCCCCCATCCTGGAAATGGACTTACACTGAATTTTGCTGAGTTGAAAACCTTCACTTCCTTCAAGGACCACTTCAGATGCCTCCTCCACCATTAAATCTTTTCTGACTCAACCAGTTAGAAGTAATTCCTCCCTCCCTATATTTCTTCTCTCTCTCTCACTTGCTCTCACACTCTCTCTCCATTGAATGAATCTTATATATGTATCATATTCTAACTTGTGCTACAATTATATGTGTATGTGTTATTTCATCCCTCTTACTAAATTATAAGTTAATTGAGAACAGAGGGCTGTGTCATTTTTCATTATTGTATGTCCAGGGTCTGGAATAGTGCCAAACATTTAACAAGTGCTTAACAACGATTGCCAAATGAAGTGGAATCTATTTGAATTGAATTGAGTGACAGGTTATGCCATGTGGGCAAGATTACAACTAAAGCAAGAACGGAGTACAAAAGTTTGGAGACCAATAGATGTCTCAGTGGATAGAGCACTGGACTTGAAGCCATAAAGACCTGAATCCAAATCCTACCTAGGACTCTTATCAGCTATATAGTCCTAGGCAAGTCTCTTAACCTCTCTGTGTCGTTGACTTTACCTAGCATTTATTTATATGTATACATGTCATATCTCCTCAGATGAAGATCAGCTCTTTAAAGGCAGGGATTGTTACTTTTTTTTGTCTTTGTATCACCAGCACCTAGTATATTACCCTGTGGAAGTAAGTGGTTTCTTAATAAAAAGTTTGTTGAATTTAATTTAATTTAATCAAACTGCTGGCCATTGACTTAAGGGTGGCATTTCAGTTTCATTCAGAAAAAAAATTTATTTTCCTTAGAGCAATTCTTAACCTTTTTTTTTTTTTAGGAGTCCTTTGTTTTGTAGCTTGGAGGCTCACATGGAAACAAAGAGGCATTTCAGCTACTGGATTTTCAGTACTGATCCAAGGAACAG